ATCTAAAATTTTTTAAACTTCATCTAGTGCTCACGTTTTTAGGTATTCAAAAACTGCTACGCCAACTGCTCTTCATAATTTACAGAGCGCCGACAGAGGACACTCTGGAAACGAGAATACGGTCTACTAAGGCTAACAAATTGCAAGCGTTATTGCAAGACTTGAATGTTGTTATACTTTCAATAGTAATCGTCTAAAGAGCATTGGTTTGTCTTGGTAAATAATTATCAATGTCGAAATTTCAGTTTCTTAATATTTTTGGCGAGCATAACGTATTGTAAAAATACAGCAGTATTGGTATCGTATTGTCAAAGCGGCGCAAACTCAACATAACTAAATATTATTTGTTGACATTGGGATTGGAAGCTAGACAGTTTAATGTTGTCCAGTGATGAACAGCAAAGAAAGTTGACGAATGTCGTAGTAGGATGCTATGGCCGCGATGAGACGCGCGGCGCCATCTAAATCGCAACCGGTGGCGTGATACGTTGATTATATGCAAGGGTTGAAGAATATCTTTTATTGGTGTCAGTCCCGCGCCGCGTTCTGCCCTCCTTCCCTTCCGATGAAAAAGCAATTGCTGGTAAGGAGCATTCGTTTGGCCCGTGATTGGCTATAAAGCTAATATCCCTTTAGCTTTTGACAAATTGCCCGATTTCACGACTTATTTATTCTTCGCTTTCACAACTCTGTATAGGCGCCAGCGATATTGCATTGAAGGAAGTATAGTAGCGCGTTGAATCGACGTTTTTCGGAATCACACGCTCAATTTAACGCGAACATGAGACTCGATAATAACAAATAGCGCTCGGCAAGGCGTAGATGTCGGCCGCTCCAAGCTCAAAGGACAAGCAAAGTCCACTAGAATAGAAGTCACGAAGCGCATTATCCACGGGCTTGGCGCGGTATTCGCGGTAGCGCAGCGCCGTCGAGTCGTGGCATTTCGCGCGTTTGATTGAAAATTTCTCGAGACAAGCGGAATGCAAGGACCAACTGCTACGGCAAAGGATAGAAAAGGGATGAGGCATTATTTACAGTCTTCCGGCATCGACGTCTATACGTATATGTATGAGCACTTTTACGAGCGGCCGTTCGATCTCGGCCTCTATTTTGATAAGGTGAGTCATCTGTCGGTTGCTGAATCACTCGATTCGTCTTGGCCCGAAGGGACGTTGGGCCGAGCGCTCTCTCTCTCTCTCTCTCTCTCTCTCTCTCTCTCTCTCTCTCTCTCTCTCTCTCTCTCTCTCTCTCTCTCTCTCTCTCTGGCGCGCAATCTCCTTTTCTCTCTGGCCGTCGAGCTGAATCAGAAATGAGAGCATGCTTTGTTCGTCTGACAAGGTTATTCCGTGTTGATTTCGACACATCCAAGCTAGACATCCGGATTCGCTGGCAGGGCCATGAAATCAAACTTTTTTTGGCCAGCGTAAAAAGTTCGCTTGGCGCGAGTCAGGGAAAAGGCGAGAACTTTCAGAAATGTTGATCGACAGATCGGAACCTGCTCAAGTGATGTTCACAGCAGGTTGTACGTAAGGAGCTCGAAAAGAGGCCGGCGATGAGTTGAAAAACGGGCGCACGCAAGAATAGAAGTGAAACGATTGCGCGCGAATGGCAAACGTAAAGTTGGTTGGCGTGCGAGTAGAGGACCTAAACAAATGGCAGGAATAGCTGTTTGTTCAAATACAGTTGTGAGCTGGCGCATATTCCAGGGCGCGCAAGTCAGTGGCGCTTAACTCGCGCAGTATAACCTCGCTCGAAAAGTTTCAACAAAAGCAGAGCGCGCGGCAAGGCAAAGGCAGCTGGTACGGTACCAGTCGCGTGTTACTTCTGCTGCGAGGAGCGCGAGCTATATATGTAATCAGATGGCCCTTAAGCTTCCTTTCCAACTCGGGCTCCAGCGCCTTTGCAACTTTCGCCCTAGAGCTTCGGTTCGAACGCCAAGATTTATGCCCGCCCACACGCACACGCACGCGCACGCGAGCACGCACGCACGCACACACGCGCGCGCGCACACTAGCCGTGTCAAATGTGTGAGCTGCACACCTCCTCTTAGCTTCTCAGGCTCGCTCGCTCGTCCAGGACGATTTTTCAGAGCATCCGCAATAACTTGCCTGTCGTTTTGTTGTTTGAACGCGAGTTCTGCAGACGGGAATGTCGAGCATCTTGACTTTCGAAGAGCTTCGTTGGCTATGTATACTCATGTTAAATTGCCACGCGAATAAGAGCGGTATTAAAATGCTCTGAAGTTTGGAGGCTCCGATGGAATGTTTTCGCTGCGTTATTCAGAAATTCACTTTTGGAATGGATAAATCGCCGAGAGCTGCGAAATTCTGCGCGCTATCTCGGCTGGGCTTTGAGAAACAGTTGACAAAGGGAAAGGAGGATAATCCGAAATCGTAAATAAAGTTGCTTAATATTGTTCTTTTGCATCTCCATGCCAGCCTTGCCTCTAGAACATACATAATAGAGCGGCGGCCCGCTTAGGTTTGCATTGCTCTGGGGCTGCAAATATAAATTCAGCCTGCTGCTACTCTCTCACTCCGCGTCGGCGGCGGCGGCGCAATAACTTTTGGCAAAACAGCGGAAAATGGAAATGCAATGTTTCAAAAGAGGATTCTCCCAGAGGCTCTCTCCTGTTCGGTCTTCCGCAGGCAGACTCTTGGGGGTAGGCGAACAAACGAGCAGCAGCAGCAGCAGCAGCAGCACATTAGATGGGGTCGAGTCGAGTCGACAATGGAGTACATTAAATACTTTTGTATATGGGCCGTTTGTACATGGACGATGCGCGTGCTATGTAAGGCAAGAAACAGCCGAATGATAAGATAATCCCGCTGAAAGCAAATAGCCCTAAGGAGAGGAGGAGGTGTGTGCGATAATGCCGAGGGGCCTATCTGCGATCGCGATCGATGGAACGCTCACCGAGCGGAAGCACCCGACGCCCCCTTCGACCCCACGACGATATTTAAATGTCAGCTGTTACATATAACGCGCCAGCGCGAGCTCACGATCTCACGACAGAGCGGCAGAACGCCACAGAAAGAGATAGCCGAGCATTTATGCGACCACGTAAAGCAGCCTCGGCTATCTCCGGCTCTTGCCCCCACCCCCGTTAATACGCCCGAGTGTATACGCGCGAAATGTACACACATGCGCGCACACGCGCAGCCGCATAGAAAGATACGCCAGGCCGACGTTATTAAACTCAAGGGCTTTTTGCTTTCTGTGCGCAGAGTAAACGCATACTTTGCCGCTCGCGCCTCTCAAACGCTCGCCGGTATATGCGCGTCTATGTGCTTATTTAAATACAAGAGCGAGAACAAGCAGGCAGCCGAGCTCGCCGCATCTCTGAATAAATTACTGCTCGCGGGACCGAATCGTAAGAGTCCAGTTTCGAAATCTATTTTATTCGAGCGCTGCCTCCCCATTGCAATATCTACCACTTGTCCGAATCGCTGTCGAGCAAGTTCGCACCATCACGCCTCGCTGTTTTTCATTTGTTCGCAAACACCACGTACAGAAGTCGGCTTGAAAGACCGCTCGCGGCTTGAAAAAACCGAGTGAGAGCAGCGATTACGTTACATTTTTGCATTATTCAATGCGAAATGCAAAATCACGATATTTAATGCACAGCTTATTTTTCCGAGCGCTAATAAATCACGCCTATATTAGGATTGATTAAGCGGATAAATGACGTTCTCATAATCCAGGTGGCCGGGAAAATGTTAATCGTATAGATGGAGCCTCGGCTAACAGGGAGGCTTTGGCGGAATCAGAAAATTAGGACGACGCAAATTGCTGAAAAACGGCCTGCGAAAAACTGCTCCGCTTGCGAAAACATCTGGCCAAAGTTGGACCAAACTTGGACAATTAGACTTTGGATTTGCACAATGAAGAAGTAGATCTTGCTGTATAAGCAGCCTCTTGGTCGGCAAGCTCGAGGCGCAAAGTTGAACGAAAGAATGGACTATTGAACTGAGACAGTGATGTTAAAAGTTGAGGTGCATTTACACACAGTGGTCCGGGTGGATTGTACAGCAGAGACGGAGAAAGCAGCGGCAGCAGCAGCAGCAGCAGCAAAGCGATAAATTGGCCCGGAGCAGTTTAGGCAGGCTGTCGCTTTACGCGCGAGGGTATATATCGCTCGGCGTCCAAGAGAGCGACGGAGTATCCGAAAAAATGGCTGGGCGCACGTATACGCCGAGAAAGTTAAAAAGGAGGACGACGTGTGCCCGGCATTGCAAACGAGCCTTGTTATTTCGCCAGCGCAGAAGAAGTACGAGCAAAGTCGAGTCGAGGTGAGGTGAGCGCGTGCAGCCGCGCGACTTTTTTGTCGACGGCGGGGCACGCAGGGGTAAAATGATTTATAGTCTCCGAGTTTTCAGCTTCGGAGTTGGCTCACTCCGTCGGAATGACAGGCCAACTAATTAACTGCGCCATTGTTGGCTGCTGCCGCGAAACTATTATTAGCAGCATTATAGTTATTTCGTCGTCGTCGACAAATGCGCGCGCGGACGTGTTTAGGATGCGACAAGCCGAAGCCTCTTCCGATTAAGCGCGTCCCTCGGTTCTCTAACTTCTGGCTATTAGCTCCTTTCTTCTTGGCTCTCGCTTTGTGCAGCAGCTTGTCCCTTCCAACCTGCTCGCAGTAAACTTTCTTTTGTTTTCCATCACGTCGCTGTGCCGCCTGCCGCCGCCTGCCACCGCCTGCAGTCCCCTCCCCACCCACCCCACCCGCTCGCAGCGCTTTGTTGCTCCGGCTTTTTTCTCTCAAGACAGCTGTTCGCGCTCTGTCTTGGCCGAACTGCCTGGATTTCAAGCGTCGATAATTAATCGTCATTACGTGGACCGGGGCTGCCGCCCTCCAAGCCAGCTCTCCAGCCCATCAACTCTGGCCTCGCGCGCTGACCAATTCAAATTCGTTCGTTCTTTCTTTCTTTCGCGCTCGACAGATAGCTGTCAAAACCTCCTGCTCCGCGTACTCGATCAATTCATCGATAACTCACCCTCGGACAGAACGTAATTGCACTCTGCTTGGCGATTAAATCAAGCTCCTCACCTGCAACAGACAAAACAAATCTACATGTAGCGTCGTACAACTGCACGTCATTGCACTTTTCAGCACTGCTGATAAGTGAAGCGCAAGTGGTAGTTAATAGATAATAAAGTCCAAGTAATGCGTCAAGTAATTCTCTCTCTCTGACGAAGGAACATTTCCGACTTGACTGGCACCAGTCCTTCATGAACTATGAACTGATTTCACCACTAACCCAGTTCCTACCATGAATAACATGCGATTGTTCGAACGCTATAAGTGTAATTGATTTTCTGAGAATAAAAATCCATCAGCTAATTGGAAGCTTTCTTTTCGTCGTACTATCAAAACGAGAATCTGAATATTGGATAGATCAATCGGCCCTGATCAGAAACAAGCATCTAATGTAGCAGAAAACTGAGCATCGACGAGGACTCTTGACCGCAACACGTTGGCACGAGGGCGCAGCCTCAAAGCACCAGGGCAAAAAAAGTAGCGGCTGCGGGGGCCACGGACCGATTATAATTGATAAGAGCGTGCACCGTGTCCGCGTGCGGTCGGAGCCAGCTTCTGACAACCAATAATAAATCAGTAACAGGAGCCGCCGAGAGCGAGGCAGACGGAGGAGGTACGAGTAGCCTGACGCTTGGCGAGCTTTTGAAATTGGAGTCCCTCTTTGCCCTCGCGCTGCTTCGGTTCGCTGCTGCACGCGAGCTAGCTCATTATGCTAGTTACTCAAGTCCTCTGGTTTTTCGAGGCCGGCATCGCTCGAGGCTGGGCCGTCCTGTAAGCTGCGCGAAACGCATCTAGGCTCTTGCAGCTTGCGCGCGAAACATGATAAATGCGCCCGAATTAGATGACTCGTGCACGCGTTCTCGCGAGTATGGCACGAGGCGCTTCGCTCCGCGGGATTACCCTGTTTAATGGGACTCGCGACTAATTCCAGCTTGACTTGCGCGATTCACGCGTCTTTGGCTGATGCTGCCGCTGCGGCTGCTGCTCCTGCCTCGTTTCAAGCGACTCTAATTTAATCATATGGAAATTGCGTCACGTCAAGACACGAATTTACAACCTCCTCGAGAGTCGAACCTTCACCTTGGCTCACTGTTCTTTTCAACCAAAATACCATTCAACAACGAATAGTTACTTTGGATGATACGCGGTTGTCAAGTTTATTAATAAATTTGACATGATCAGACGTCGGACAAACCGAAATAATCAAAAGTACGATAGACAGTAAAACTCTGTCGATTCAAAATATCTCGTACCGGTATCGGTGTGGGCATGACAAATAAGATGATCGGCTGGGCGAAACATAGATGTTAACGGAAGGATTTCTCATAAAAAGAATCATCAAACATTTTGGATCTGAAAAGCAATAAGCGCACGGAGAATCCGTAGAAAAAAAAGACGAAGAAGAAGTAGTAGGAGTAAGAGCAAGCAGTGTAATAAAAGGCAAGGCAGGCTGGCAGGCGCTTGGGGCTTACTCTCGATGTACCGCGCAGCTGCCTGGCTGCTGCTTGCTCGCGCCTCGAGTAGTCGTCTGAGATTTCGAACTAATTTCGAGCTCCGCACCTGTTCGCTCGTGTCGTCCTTTTTTTCTTTCTCTCTCCTTCGCCTCGCCCCGCACATCTCTCTGTGCCGCTGCAATACGACATAAGCGATAAATCTCGAGACCAAAAGTTCCGCTTGGGCCATTTGGAAGCAATCGCGAAAGAGCGCGAGCGTTTCGAATCATTTCGCGATCTGCCGTTTAATTAAAATCTGATTGAAATTTAGGCGCAGACGGGTGCGGTTAATGTATCGGCGAAAAGAGTTTAACCGGCACTTCTGGACCATCAGAGAACTCGGCAACTAGCTTCTTTTTCTGGCGGCTGCGGCTTACTCCTCTTTTTGTTTTATCTTCTTGGCCGTAGTGTGGCGCGCTGCTGTCGCCGCACGAACTTTGCGAAATTCGACGATGGGCGCGATTTCACGGGGAAGCCCTTCATTGTGGCGGGATAATCGCCGCGAGACGAGCTGTAGTATCAGATTTTCGCTTCTCATTCACTTGGTTTGCAAAGCTGCCGCGAAGCGAAGCGAGCCTCGACTGGAAATTCTTTGCTCCTTGAGTGGCTTCGCCTTTGCTTGGTTTAATCGGCTTTATCATCGAGAAAATCCGCACTGAGCGCGTACAAACGGAGCTTCGGCGTTGATTCACTTGGTCGCGCGTTTCAAGGCCAGAGCAGGCTCCGCGCGACGAGGCTTAATTGCAACGTAGCTGGGAATCGACGAGGTCGGCTAAAGGGAGACTGAGTTGCTATGGCAGGTAAACAAGCCGCCGTGGCGGCGAGCTAATATTGAACTGCGCGCGATACAGCTTCGAACGGAGATTTGAGTGATAGAGTCCGGTGGGTCGGGACGAGCCATAACTCGAGCGAGGAGCTGGTAAGTGCAGCGCGTAGTCCGAGATAGCCAGGCGTCGCGCCGGAATAAGGGAGTAGAAGTACACGGTGGAGCGGCGGCGGAGAACTCGAGCGGCCGTAAGCGAGCCAGCAGTAGGATGTGTAGACAGGACGCTTACCAGACAACTGAGTCCTGCCAACAAGTCAAGGCAATAATCATATAACCGAGCGCGCGCACGATACGGTCCTTCCGGGACGGCGCGGGGACTTTGTTAGATAGTGAGTTGTCTCCCGCTCTGCTCCTTGTCGTTGCATAAGCAGCAGCAAACAGCTCCGAGTCGGAGGGGTGGGCCAAGCCATTGTAAAATCACGTCACGTGATGCTTACTCTTCACTCCATTGCAGTGGGGAGTCTCATTAGACGCTTTAGACGGGGATAGGCAAGACGAGAAAAAATGAGGACTCCAAAGCTGGCGCTGCTGCCACTCCTTCGAGCCTTTCCGGAGCCCTTTTCTCCTTTTTCTCTCTTTCTTCGAGAAAGCGGACGCGCGGAAATGTCTGCTCCAGCTTATGCGGCATTCCAAACTGGCAGACTATTCCGAAAATTTCAATTGCTTCAAATATTAAACTCATCATTGTCGGGCGCCAACGGATATTTATTTTTTGTTTTTCACCGCAACACCCTCTCGGCGAGCAATATTAGTCGGAAACAAATGTAATTGCTGCCTGCCTGCCTGCCTGCCTGCCTGCCTGCCTGCCTGCCTGCAGACGACCTGTGCTTCCTATCGACTAAGTGTACTCGGCATAGTGCTACGCGCGCACGCACACGAGTCCAAGCTATAATTTGCATGGCATATACAGTTGTACGGTTGGACTAACCCGCCCTGACTACGACAGTCCTCCAGGCCCCTGTTCGCTCAGCGATAGAATTAGCAAAGCCTGGTAATGGAGGCCCCAGGCACACTAATTATTTTTCCCAGAAACTAATCCTCCGACACGTTTATGAGGCCTGGCTAAGGAGCAGGCATACCCTTTGCGCTTTGCATCCGACCTTTTACGAGTCGGCAAGAATACGTTTGCGAAGAATTTCGTGCTTACAGCCATTGAAAATTGAGTTGGCTTGGAAAGGGCTACGGAATGATGGACAAAGTAGGTTTGCTCCTTCGGGCTGGCCTTTGCACACGGATGCCCTTCGCATCGGCAAAGACGATAGAGGAGCGTAGACGCGCGGGAGCCAATTCTCGCGTCTCATTTCCAAATCCGTGAAAGGTAATTTTCGATTTCCGAAGTGGCGGAGTAGCGGGCTGAGCTAGGCGAGCGAGAGAAACTTGGTTTCTTAATGTAGCGTGAAGGGAACGGAGCCATACGTACGCTTTGCTGGGATTGCCTATAAAATTGCTTCCCATAAACTTGGACTACAGTTCTCGCTCGCGGTCGCGTTAAAACTTTTTATTTCTACCTGAAGCCCGTTTAATTTCTTCATTTGACATGGGCGCCGTGCTTGGGATTCCTCTCCCACTTATCGCAGCACTTTGATAATTTTACTTGAAACGACTGTCGAACAATTTTACGCGTCCCTTTCGGAGCAGCGACGAGCAGCAAACTGCTGGAGTTAGCGCGCGCCAATTTATGCAAATCATCGCGTTTATTTATTTGCGCGAGTTTTCCGGGCGAACGCCGGATAGAGGAGGCTCGGAGCGGCGTATCTGATTGCTAATCCAATTTGTATTCTCCCCCCCCCCTCCCCCGAAAAGCTATGACTTGAGAAAGTTTGCCTTGGCGCGTGCGCACAAGGCGAAGCAGCTAGCTGGCGCGAGGCTCGCTCGTTTGCAAGCCAAGTAAAAAGAGGAAAGCAAGCGCGGCGGGCAGGAGAGGAGAAGAGAAGAGCGGCTCGCTCGGACTCTGCTGATTTAAGTCCGAGTGAACTTCTGTGAGTAGCAGTCGGTTCGGCTAAGGAAGTTGCCCGCGAGAGTCAACAAAGACAAGACGGATATCATCGAGCCGCCTCGTAAACTGCGTGAAACCGCAAGACCGGCGCTATTCATTGTCAGGCAGCGTAAGAATCGCCGCCGCAGCGCCGCCACAGCGCCGCCACACCGCCGCCACACCGCCGCCATGCCGCCCCGGTCGGCTTCGCTGCTCCTCTCATTTAATTCTGCAACTGCAGCCAATACCCGGCCGTGCTCGCAGTTTATTCGCACCACCGCCGACATGCCCAGGCGTACTTCGATAAATTACAGTCGATGAGCGCGCGTTCACTCGTGAAACTGGCGCGCGCTCAAATCCATCCAAATATGTTTTCCAGGTGGGATTTGAGCAGCCGTCGAGAGGCACTCCGATCACTTATTCGGTCTTGCGCAATTATCCGCGCGGAAGATCGCTGCTGCCAGTGAGTTTGCACGAGAAACTACCCCCTCAGACGACTCTCGCGTCGAAGCTATTCGTCGGCGGTCTGGCGCTGCCGCGGCCACGTCTCCCCCGGCGATCGCTTGGCTGCGAAGGCAGAGGAAAAATCTGCATAGCGGGCAGCGCCGTACGAGACGATCGCTGATCCCGCTCCATTTGGCGCAGCCCGCTTGGCTTTGTGGTAAATGCCCCATGAATGAACGATGAGGTCGAGTCCCCTGCTACTTGGAGTGCCACCGCTGGCTCGCCGATCATTTCTCGCGCGAGGATACATCGAGCGAGTCTCGCCGATGCGTCTAACGTAACGAGTAGGAGAGGCGAGAGAGCGCGACAGGTGACAATCTCGCTCGTCGCGTATCGCCCCGCCTCCTGGGACTATTGATCCTATCCCGCTGCGACTGCTCGGGGACTCATCGCCACCTGCCCAATGGTGCTGCTGCTGCTGCATTGTCTCCGTGGCCCGGCGAGACGACAAAGACGCACGAGCTCGGAGGCGCAATGTACATTACTCGGCCTGATTTGGCAATCGATACTCGCTGCGGCAGCTTCCTACGGATCCTCTGATAATTAATAACGTCTTGTGGCCCGATGGAAATTTCCTGGACGCGGGGGTCGACGGCTTCAATTGAGAGCCCGCAAAAGCGCGAAAGCCGCGATTCGATCTGCGACCGAGCGATCGTTTCTATTCGTGCCGATGGAGCCGAGCTTACTTGGAACACGTCAGCCGGCCGGGAGATGAATTTTTCAAATTATCGACATTGAGATGAGGCGAGAGGGAGATGCATTTTCCTCATTATCAGGCCCTCGCTATACAGTCATCTCTTGTCAGTCGTTTCCCGGCGGAGCGGAAAGGCCATTTCGCTGACAGATAATCGTGGACATTCGTCTTTCTCCTTGGAAATTTCGCGAGGAGATCGAGGGATCGGCCGATGAAAGATTCATGACGCGCATCGCTGGTCCTATCAGAAATGCCGAGCGAACCTCCGCTCGAGAATCGAACCCTCGATTCCTCGAGGCTTCGATTCCCGCATACTATCCCCTCCCCCGCAGCTTCCTCCTGGCCCGGCATCACGCGCCATTCCACCCTCTCAAGCTCGAGCTGCTTAGCTTTGCATCGACCTTAGCCGCTCGAACGCGCCAATGTCAATCGTCACGAGGATGCTTAGCGATTAGCCCCCCCAGCACTATACTTGCTTTGGCCGCCTCTTATCTTTCCTCGCTGTACCCTTTACTGTCGTATATCGGGCATTTGTCGCTCCCGCGAATACCTTGGCATCGATGGACACGTGTACTCAAAGAGATTTTCCGTGGTAAGCGGCCGTGACTGTGTACACGGATATACGGGAAGAGGGGGGCGCGGCTCCGAACAAGCACGGACCCGGAGAGGGTACAGCAACGGCAGGGTATGCGGAAAAATCAAGGCTCGGGCAGCAGCTGCGATACGAGTCGAGCCACGTGTAGCGCACCTTGATGACGCCCGGCTTCCCGCGGGAGGCAGCGCCACAGCAGCAACTCTAGCAGCGAGCAAGCTCAGGCGTGTCTCGGCTCATTTCGCCGGCACTACGTGCCTCGGATCGAAGATGGCCTACCGAGGGGAATTCTTACGGGCTGCCTGATAATTAAGGTTGACCAAGCTTCCTTATCTCTCTTTCTCTCCGTCGGAGCTCGGAGCTGTACTCGCGTCGAGACTTGGCTTCATCACCCTTTCCTCCGGAGCAAACAGGCTTTGTCCCTGCGCTTCCGATCGAAACTAGACGCGTATATTTATTTGATAAAATAAACGCTTTGATCTCTCAACATCTGACGAACACGTTGAGTTTGAAAAACGGCGCTCGTGCGTGCATGCAAACGCGAGTAGCGAGCGTTTGCGTATTGCGCGTGGCGTGCACGAAAAAAATAAAAACGGCGAGGTAAACGTGGCGAAAGGTCTCTACGAAAGCCTCGAGGGGTAAACAGAGCGCAATAATTAAATCATAAATTCGGCGCGAATGATTGCGAGAAATGATGATTATTCCGGCGATCGGCCCCCTCGCGCGTGCATGCGTTTTCTACCGAACGAGTGCGCGCGCGGCGCGGCGTGGTGTGCGAATACAAACACGGTAGTACTCGCTCGAGCGCTACCTAAAAATAAACTTGGCATTGCGCTCCCCGCGGACTCGGCGGCGGACCCGCTGGAAGCGGCTGCTTTATTCAACTAGCGCGCCAGCAAATCACACTTGCAAATTAGTGCAATCAATGCGTCGTCGCGTTAGCAACTGCCAATGTCGTCGGCGAATATTACGAGACCGTCAACGAGTTTCATTGCCAATTTAGCAATGCCCGTCGCCGTACGACTGCCTCCACCCTTGCGGGCACGCTTTCCTTTGTCGTATTCGCCAGCCTTGTTCGCGCTCGTGTACGACCAAAAAAAGATGCTGATTAGTAGTCTTCTAAGAGCAATGCTCACGGCATTTTTGTTCGTCACAATTAAAATTATTTTAACGATACTTCTGGAGTCCAAAAATGAACAAGTTTGCACGGACGAGTCCCTGCAGAGACGAGACTCGCCGGTACGGGATCTGCATCGAAGCGAATAATACGCTTTTTATCAGGCGAACCGAGGCCTTTTACTCGCAGCCCTCTCCGAATAATTGCGTAATTAATTACGAGGCTACTTTATCCCAGCGGGGCAGATCCGTTTCTGCCCCCTCGCCCCCCTCTGTTGCCAGTGACGTACAGGTCTCAGAGGCACCTGCGCGAAATGATCGTGATTTAGTTTCGCAAGCTCACACCGGTGATTAACATAGATAGAGAGCCGCGAGGCGCATTGCCAATGAGCCCCCTACCTCGACAACCTCTTTCTTTCCTTTTCTCTCTCTTTCTTCCTTTCTTCCTTTCTTCCTTTCTTCCTTTTTTCCGTTTTGCGCCGCTTTTTTCTCGCTCCTAGCCTATTGTTTCGCGCTCTGCCTTTTCTCTCCTGCAGCTGCCTTAGCGCCGATTAGTCCGCTCTATCTCTGCGCTGCATCCCGATTACTCGCCCACCTCCGAGAATTCCTTTTCCGAGCTTTCTTTCGACATCCACTCTTGCATGACACACTAACAAATAATCAATCATTGCCAGCAATTGCAATCTCGGAAAAGTGCTAAAATTAGAAAGCTGATTTTGTTCGTGTCGGCTTGATCGAGCTTTCATTGACGGTAAACTCGCTGAACGCGTCGATAGATTGCGACGTGGCTTGTGATGAAAATACAAAAGAAAAATGTTTGAGAAAGAATATAAGTATAATCCAGTGAACGTCCATCGGGATTGAGGGAGGAGAAGCTAACACGACACGAGAAATCCGAAACCGAGAAAAATAAATGGTAAGCTGAACGGTTGAGCGAGTGGTTGCCTGCTCCGAAGGGGGAGTCGAGAGAATCGAATGATTTTATTGGCGAGGCTAGCAGCAGCAGCAGCAACAGCGTTTGGTCACGTACGCGGCATCGCGGGCGCTCGCGTGAAATCCGTCAGAGTGGCCGTCGATCAGCAGTCGAAAATTTTGCCCGAGCGGCCAATTCGATTTGCAGCCGCGCAAAAGGGCCGTGTTGTCGTTTCTGCGCGCGCGGGAGAAGGAGAGAGCCCCAAGAGGGGGATGAGGAGCAAAGATTTCGCGGACGAAGCGAGTACGCGCTCTGAATCCTTCGCCGTTATCTGCTCTTCCGACTTTTCGTTTCTTCTTGCCGCGAATGACTTATACCTACACACACACACACACACACACACACACACACACACACACACACACACACACACACACACACACACACGCGCGCGCGCGCGCAACCCTCGAGCGAAATAAATCCGAATGGGAACGAGGGGCAACGGCTCGACCTTTCGATGTTTTCGGAATCATTAAGTGGTCGACAGCGGCCGACAAGCGGCGCGCACGCTTATCTCCCTTAGGGTGAATTCCATTAGAGTGAGCTACCGACTGCCATCATTAATTTTTCGCTAATGGATTGTGCGTGCCTGACTGATGGTATATGCGCTGGGCTGTTTGGTTTTCGCGACTGCGCCTCGGTAAACGCCTGCATTTGCTTAACTGACTGTGGGGAACCCAGCGAGCCTCTCGATCGCTCGAATATCGTTCGAGTATCGACTTTTCTGATTGATTGCGGCCTAGCTCGGTCACTATTTTTTACCCGAACAAACTTCTTACGCGCGAGCTGCAATTACAAGAACGAGTGGAACGGAACGCTCATAGAAGGCGGCGTTGGCGTAACGAGGCGCAGTCACACGTGTAATCCGCTAGTGAATACTGTGTGACAAAGTTTCGGCAGGCGTACATATTCGGCACGCTGCTTTCACAGGCACAGAGAGAGAGAGAGAGAGAGAGAGAGAGAGAGAGAGAGAGAGAGAGAGAGAGAGAGAGACAACTGAGAGAAGAGCTTAGCCGAACTAAGTTCTGTATCGTCGAATTGCTACCGCTAATCCGTAATTCGCTCATTGACGAGGCTCGCGACTGCCGGGTGGCTCAGTGCTACTGATATACACGCGCTATGTATGCTTCATTCGGGGACGAGGCACAATCCGATTGGACGCATCATTGTACTTGGAAGTGACTCTGGTCGAGCATGCATTATATATGGACCTGTGACCGCAAAACTCACGAGAAAGATTACAGCCAGGTGAATTTTGCTATTTGCGTAAGCAGGCTGTTACGAAGGTGGGCAAACTGGTTGGAGCTCGGGATTCGCGGCAACGACAGCAATGAAGTATCGTTCAGTCGAAAGTTGCGCACTGGAATCGCGCGCTTTCTCTCTCTCTTCTTCCTGTCTGCATACGTTT